CCGCATGAAGTTCAACAAGGCCAAGTGCATGCAGGTTGGCGCAATCTGAAGCACAACTACAGGCTGGGCGGAGAATGACTTGAAAGCAGCCCTGAGGAGATGGACTTGGGTGTGTTGGTTGATGAAAGGCTCAATATGAACTGGAAATGTGTGCTTGCAGCTCAGAAAGCCAACCGCGTCCTGGGCTGCATCAAAAGAAGTGTGACCAGCAGGTCGAGGGAGGGGATTCTGCTCCTCTCCTCTGCCTTGTGAGACCCCATATGGAGTACTGCATCCAGCTCCGGGGTCCCCAGTACAACAGAGACATGGAGCTGTTGGAGCGAGTCCAGAAGAGGGCCACGAAGATGATCAGAGGGCTGGAGCACCTCTCTTATGAAGACAGACTGAGAGAGCTGGGGTTGTTCAGCCTGGAGAAGGTTTCACGGAGACATTATAACAGCCTTCCAGTACCTAAAAGGGCCTACAAGAAAGCTGGAGAGGGACTATTTATAAGGGCATGGAGTGATAGGACAAGGGGTAATGGGTTTAAGATGAAGGAGGGGAGATTTAGATCAGATGTTAGGAAGAAATTCTTTACTGTGAGGGTAGCGAGGAACAGGTTGCCCAGAGAGGTCGTAGATGCCCCATCCCTGGAAGTGTTTCAGGCCAGGTTGGATAGGGCTTTGGGCAACCTGGTCTTGTGGAGGGTGTCCCTGCCCATGGCAGGGGGGTTGGAACTAGACGACCTTTAAGGTCCCTTCCAACCCAAACCATTCTATGATTCTATGATCTCCTATGTATTTGTCCTGTAAATTATAGCATAGCAGAGCAGGAGCTTTGATGGTAACTGTACACAAGATATCTGTCACTGCATGCACACTTGTGCCATGCAAATGAGATACTATGCTGCCACTTACCTGTTGTGGGAGCAGCTAAGTTTAAGCAGAGAACAACAGATTAAACTAGTCATTGATAGTTTCTCCTCTCTGGTTTGTTTTCTACGCTGTATAAACTGCTTCATTTGCTCAGAGGTTCTTCAGACTAAAGCAAAGCTTATCTACTGCTCAGCCTGTTAGTCCTGAGCTTTGAGTATATAAGCAGGTAATAGAAGAACCAGAACAAGAATCTCCTTCTAGAGAGAAGTTCTACTTCTCATAGAGCTGATGGACAGCAAAGAAACTGATAACCAGAAACAACAAGCAGCAAAAGGCAGCTGTTAAGAGCTATTTCCTCTCTCCTTCCTCTGTTCCTGTGATTACAGGTAGAAAATAGATCCCACTGTGCTGTCCCCACAGAAACATGACTAGTTCAAACATTCAGTTAAAAAAAAATGAATACAACAATGTTTTTTACATCCAGTCATCAGCAAGTTCAGCCTTTTTTTTTTTTTTTTTTTCCCCTCCCTTTCCTCTCTCTAGCAAATCCCCCTAAAAGAAAAAAGGCTGGGTAACATTGCTCTACAAGCAAATACAATGCAATTCAGTTACACACAAGAATTACTGCTCTGTGCATACACATCTGTGGAAAACACTTATCCACCTGTTAGTGAAGGCAGTTTGTAAGTATCCACATTAGCAAAATACGTATTACTTCATTACTATTCTAAAAAAGCATTATGATTTGAAGTACACTTCTGTTCGCCAGATCAGACATGAAAATATCTATTAAGTAACAGCAAACAGCATCACCCCTACCTGGAAAGGAAGCTCTCTAACACAGCTTGGAATCTCTTTTAATTTCTTTAAAGGCACTTTTGATCTATTGCCATAATCCACAAAAAAAACCTGGAAAAAGAATCAAGAGCATCTGCAGAGATTCCACAACATTAAAAGTGCTACTTCTAGTGGCAAAGAAAGTGGCAACCGAAGTTTAATTATTAAAGTACAACACAATCTTATCAAGTGAAACGCAAACAAATTCAGAGTCTGGAAAACATGCAAATGAAGTCATGTGAAAAATAATAGGTCAAATTTTATCATGTCTATTATTTGATCCCTTGGCTTAAACATCCGTTGGTCATGCAAATAATCTACATCTAGAAGAGGCAAATTTCTCTGAAAGGCTCTAATTCTCTAAATCTGTATAAGCTTACTTCTTAACAGTGAGTGATACTACCTAATAATTGCTTTTAGATATTCAACTGCTAACATGGATTGGGTGACTGTTTATAAACGCAAAACAAAAATGATGATATTAGCACTGTTATTCACTACTTCTCCATGACTTTAAACAGATGACAATGTTAAATATTCACTCTATAGTGGTGACACCCAGCTATAGTAAGAAATCAAGAAATTCAAAGGAGGAAAGGGCAGTGTAAAGGCCAATCTTACAAAAATAAAAAGCGTCCTTAACGGCTGAAAAAAAAAAAGTATTGGACTGAAAAATGAATACCAATCTCAAACTGTAACACTAAATTCCATTACTGACCTTGGCACAAAAAGCCAAAATGTTCTGATAAATTTGCTGATGATATAGAACTCAGCAACATAAACACCAATACCAAAAAAGATCACACTGAATGGATGTGAGAACTCAACAGGAAGGAGAAAAACAAATGGTATTAAGTAAAAGATCATATCCTTTAGAATTTTTAACAATCTCTGCTATAAACGCTCCATTATTATTTATAGATTCTAATTAGTTGTAAATTACCAAGGAGACAGAACTAAGTATAAGATGACAAGAGGTGGCCCATGCAAAAAAAGCTATGAAAAGGCAAATGTGGCATGTGCCACACAAAATATTTTTGAATGCAGAGGAGAAACCCTGTGTTGAAAGAGGAATACTAGCATCATTACATAAGCAAAGGCAGAACTGTAAGTACGGGAGCATACATAATTCTGCTTCAGAAAACTGAGGTCAAAACAAAATAGAGCGAGATGGAGACCAGGTGAACAGAGAGTCAATGTAGTATGTGAAGAGATGAAAATGAGTGCAGCTTGCTTCCTTTAGCAAAACAAAGTCCAGGAAGAAACAGACAGACAAACTGTAGGGGAGGGGAAAGAGGAGGAAAAGAAGAAAATTTTGTAAACCACGGGAAGGAACAGTGGCAGAACTAGAATCTTCGACGAATTGGCCATGAATGACTGAAAACTGCTAATACAGTGGGGGCAAGAAACTTACTTTCCAGATGGGTCTCAATACATTGATGAGGAGGAAGTGATGGGGTTGCTGCCAGCAATGCAGTACTGGACTCTGATCTAGGCATTCCTTACCACATTTTCAAAATTACTGGAGGTTTTAGCCTTTATTTTGCTTCGCTCTGCTTCAGCACACAAGACACTTTAGTGTATCAACAACAGCCTCTCAATTTAATACTAAAATATTCCTGTGTTCTGAAAAACAACTAATTCATCTATTCTGGCCACATTCTATTAAGGTTTTATTTTAGTTCTATAGATTTGTTTACTGGAATATTTATAATTATCATGAACAACAGTGCTTTAGCTCCCAAGATTGTTAACCCAATTACATCCTACCAATTCAGTATGACATAACATATTACTGTACCTCAGCAAAATCTCCACAAACATACAGAATACGAGCTCTATAGTATCCTCTGTTTTCCAGCTGAGTGAATGGTGCCAGACAAACCAACTCTGGATGTGGAGACACTGGCAAATCCATCAGGTTCTGGTAGTTAATTTCAGCAGTTAGAGCCTGGAGTACAGTTCTATTTTTTTCATCTATCCTGTAACCCCAGAAGTGTCCAACTTCTACTATCTGAAAGTAAAAAAAATTAGACAATATCAGATTTCATATTGTTTTATTCTTCTACATCAAATACAAACCAGATCTGAACAAAATAAATGAAAGCACCCCTACTCCTGACACACACATGGAAATGTTCCCATTCTGCAATAATTCAGTGAAGCATTTTTCACTCATAATTAGATGTTATTTTAAAATGTTTATTTGCTGTGCAACTGCAATATACTTTCCATCCAGATAGACCCTGATATAAGCATTATTAAAATACAGAAAATTAAGAAAAGACTGCTTCCATTTTTCTAAACCAAATTATCACACAGAAAATACAAGCGATACAGTTGTTTAGACAGATACATACAGATATGGTGCACTTTTCTTATTAGTGAAAGAATACCAGTTAGCTACATCTATCAGCAAGTCGGCACTGTTACTGTTATGATTAGCCAACCTTTAAAGAAACTGAAAAGAACACACCACTATTTAAATCAAACCAGATAAAATAAGTCATCTTTTCAAATGGATTACTGAACTTATACTATTTCTGACCTTATTACTGAATGCTCATGATAAAAAAGAATCTTTATTTACAATATATACAATCATTAAAGCTGATGTATTAAACAGAACTGGCATAGCTAGCTAAGTGATTAGAATGCGTCCGATCAAATCCATGAACAGTTTTGATCCAAGAGACTTAGCTGAATTAAATGAAGAAATACTCTCTTCTGCACTTGCAAAACACGTCACTACAATGAAGATCTGTTTTAGTACTTCAGCCTATAATTTCCACTAGCTCAGTAGTTTGGATTTTTTTGATTACTATTTTTATTTCAGCAGCATATATATTGCTTGCTATTACTCAATTTGTTGAGAAGATGATAGTTAACACAAGATTTAAAAATTCTCAGCTTCAGAATTCAGAAATATTTATATGTACATATAATCTTCCCCTAACACTATCTTTTATGCATGCAATATTTTTGCAAATGAGCATGCAATACCATTAATTCATCTCATTTCTCACAATACGGCTTCTGAAGAAAACTGCCAGTTGATAATAACCAGGTAAATGGACCAAATACCTACTGATTCTCATTTCTATAGCGTACGCAAATATTCTACCTCTCCCATTAATCCTCTTTACATTTATGCCTACTTCCAGCTAACATTTACTGTCAGTGAATCCCACAAATGTTGTCAAGTTTCGATGTTTGAGATTTATTTGCAACATGCAAGTACTGTTTAACAAAGAACTACTAAAAATTAGACCAAGAATATTCTCCATATCTCTTATGGATACCTCTTTTCTAGAAACATTATTAGTGACCATTCTTTTAATTTAAGGCTTGTCAGGTATTCATCTCTGCAAAATTACCTAGGTACCGATTTATTAGATATGACCTACTTCAGATGTAGTACACTCATACCTCTGTTATCTTGATTGACAGAAGGCGATTTGGGATCATCTTTGACTGGTGTAAAGTACCAAATGAGATTTCCACAGGCTCCACTGTCTGCTTCTGACAATCCACATTTACTCTGAAAAGTTTATAGAATAAAGATGACAAATACTCCACTCACAAGCATTAACTCAAGAGTTCAAATCTTTTAGCTTTCATTTCCTTCCCAGGTTGTCCCTAAGGCATGCTTATGTACTTAATGACTTTTATTTAGAAAAATATTAATTCAATTAGAACATAAAACGACCACGCAGAAACAAAATACTACAGAGAAACTGTTTGGATTCCATTGTGACAAAACACAGGAAGATACATACCAAGAAGCAACATCAATTTATTAGAAATCCAAAGAATTAAGGTTAAATAGTGAGGCTTTTTGCTATGCCATGCCTTCTAAGCTTATTTTTTTTTCCAGCCTAGGAGACTTCTTTCTTGAGTTCCTCAAGAATTAATTTTCACAAAGATCTTAAATGCTGTTTTGGGCACAGTGAAACTGCTAAAACGTTTTATTAAAAACTAAAGTACAATCAAGTGGAAGTGAAGTATTCACCTGCACTTTAACCTTTCCAGTTTATTCC